TATGACCACCCATTGACAGGCAATTTAACAACTTATTGGCCCATTTAAACTTAATTAAAAGCAGACACATATATGTTTGGGTATGAGCCCTAGGCCTTTGATGGGTCTTTGCTGAATATATTATGGCCGGGTGTGTGCTCACACCTGTAATCCAGCACTTTGGGAGGCCGAGGTGGGCAGATCACGAGAGGAAGATCGAGACCATCCTGGCTAACACAGCAAAAGCCCGTCTCTACTAAAAATACAAAAAAGTAGCCGGGTTGGGTGCGGCGTGCCTGTAGTCCCAGCTACTTGGGAGGCTGAGGCAGAGAGTAAGGCATGAACCCGGGAGGCGGAGCTTGCAGTGAGCCAAGATCGCACCACTGCACTCCAGCCTGGGTGACAGAGCGAGACTGTCTCAAAAAATAAATAAATAAATAAAAAGAATTGAATTTTGAACTGAACAAAGGAGCAAGTAGGTCAATGGGTTATTTTTCCACCTGCGGGTGACTCCATCCAGGTGCAAATAGTGAGGAAACCCTTGAATCCACTACAGGTGAAAGTTTTGCAGTGTGGTCCCATGTGAGGGAGGAGACAAGTCACCTGGCTATTGGGTAGGGATGAAGAGGATACCAGGGCTACTGCTAGACTTTAGCAGTGACCCCACTTGAGCCTGCAAAGGGCAACAGCTCCCTAAGGAAGCAGCAGGGATGAGCGGCAGCCCCCTCCTAGGAAGCCCTCTCAAAGTCTTTCATTAGATATGCCAGATAGCCTCTCTCTCCTGGAGTAATTCCTTCTCTCCAAGGTCATCATTTGTTTTGTGATGTTAATTCATGTGAGTTGGGGGTTTGGTTCTATTTTGTTGTTTTCCTATATGTTTTGATTTATTGCTTTGAATTTTTTTTTGTTTATTTTCTGTGATAAAAATGGATGTTCTATGTGAAAGCTGAGTTCCTTGTTTCTTTCTTTTGCCCGTGGCTGACTGCGTGTGCTCTGTTGACGTCTTGTTCCTGGTTCTTGACACTGACCATCTTGTCTGTGAAAGGAGGCACTCTGGCGGGCATGCTTGATCAGAAGAAAGGGAAGTTTGCTTGGTTTAGTCATTCCACAGAAACCCATAGTAATGTCGCCCTGTGCTGTGTGTGTGTAAATGTGTATGGGTGCATACCAGACAGAACGGGAGGGTGTTTCTCTTGATGGCTTGTGCCGCAGTAGTTCTGTGTGTGTGCATATATGTGTACCTATATATGTTGTGTGTGTGTCCGTGTGTTTGTGAAGGGATGGCAACCTGTCCCCCTCAACGGCACTGCCTTGTCATTGCTTCATATGTATAAAGTCAGTGGGTGTGACAACTGGCAGAGCTATTCCTCCAGGAGCTCTTCCTTTGGGCAGTGCTGGCCTGGAGTAAGGACACTGTGAATGCGCGGTTGGAACCAGTACAGGCAGTGCCTCGATTTAGAAGGTGCTGTCCTTATTTCTGGTGCCCAGGCCTGCCCCTCCAAGTTCATTTGTCTTTCCAAGCCTAGCACCGCCACCTCCACAGCACTGTACTCACACGTAAGGCTCTGGGAACCAAGTGTCACAGAGTCACAGAACTTTTTCTACATGGCCTGGCCCTTCAAGCAAGGATGTCCAGAGGGTGGAGAGCTAAAAAATAAAAAATTAAAATTAAAAAATCTTAGGGCTGAGATGGCTGGAGATAGATGGATTGGAAGACTGAGAGTGCTTCCATTTTATGGCTTCCTTAGTGTGGTTTGAGCAGGGCCCTTGGCAAGCTCTGAAGGTCTGTTTTCCCAGCTCCCAGGCCTGAAACCATCCCTAAGGGCTGGTCTCACCAGCCCCTCCAGACTTCAGACTATAAAGTGAGTCTAATGCTATGGAATTCAGTGCCCCTGTTTGGCTACTCACTGCCTTCCTGTGGTGCTCCCAGAGCCTAGTAGACTTTAAGAAGCTTGTCTTTGCCAAGGGTGTAGAGTGCAGAGGCGGTTGAGACTGGGGCACTCAGGATGAACACGGTGCAGGGGGTGTGACACTTGTGCCCTGGTCCCAGGCCTCCTTGAACACACCGCGTGACTGCGGGCATCACATCCCTTCTCTGGCCTCGCTTTCCTCTCCTGCAGAGTGAGGAGGATGAGTTAGAGCCAGAAAGTTTCTAAAGCCTCACCCAGCTCTACAGTTCTATGAAATGACATCTGGATTTTTTAAAATTCAATTTTAGTAAAAAGGTCAGAGAGGTCTCTCATACACAACAGTCAAACATACGGTAAGTCGTGGACTTCATTTGTATCTTCCATATGCTTGAAATGATTCTCTTCTCACCAGCCTGGCTTGTCTTAATCCGAAGGAAAGGACACCAGAAAAAATCCACATCCATCAACATTATCCGTACGACCAGCAGAAGTGTTTCTTGGGCGCTGGCAGCCTCACGGGGACTTGTCACCGGAGGCCGCTCCCTCACTAACAGCAGATTCTGTGTCTGCTGAGGGCGGGTGGCTTTCTCAGCAGATGAAGGGTTCTATTCTGGAGGAACAACAGAACCAGGACCAAGCATACGATGGCCACTCTAAAGAATAAGGGTTACAGAACTAAGGAACGCATTGTGTCATAGTAAGAGAGTGATGGAAGGTGAAGAAAATTTATTTGAGTTAAACTTTTATTTAGAAGAAAAAAAAATAATAATAATAATAATGACTTCTTTCAGGCCACCAAACTGGGTTCTAAGCTAGAAAACTCCCATCGTTCTGGAAATTCAGCCCACAGCTGCCTTGGGAGGAGGGTGGACAAGTTGAATTAAACGGCTTATATCCAAGTCAACCTGTTGACATGGGAATGTCAGGGTGGCTGAAAGGGGAAATAGTATTCGTACAGGCTGTCTTCTGACCACAAGTAAACATAATCGTGTGGACTGCACACTTCCACTCCTCACTCCTGATGTCTCCAGGGCTAGTTTGAGTCTCAGTGCGCGGCTCTGGGAATGGCCATTTCCCTCAAGCCCTCTGTCTCAGTCGTGCTCCTGGGAGTAACCGACTGCCAGAAAGGGGAGGCCTCCGTCCACCCAGCAGCAAGCACGCCCTTTCTACAAACAGGCTGGTCCCTGTTCTTGGAGATGGAGCTCCTTAGAGATGGTGGGTGGGATGAAGTAAGGAAAATGATATGTTTTCACGAAAGCTCCTCTTTCTATGGCAAGTGGTAGTTGCAAACGGAAAAGGCTCTGCAGCTTCTTCTAGTCCACAGAGTGGAGAGGAGAGATTCAGTGGTCAGTTTTTTCAGGATGTATCCTGTAAGGTAAAATGCTGTTATTACCAGATATCCTCCCATACTTCCATTAGTTTACAGTGTTCTTGGCAGCAAAACCTGCCCTGGCCAAGCAGCAGGCGTGTCAGTCAAGGGGATCCGTGCGGATTAGCCAGCCGGTGCACACAGGCTCTCTTTCTGTCAGCCCGCACTGGGTCTTGCAGTGAGCGTGTTGCAAACTAATGCTCTTCTGTTCCCTTCTCTCCCCACCCTCAATGCCTTGCTCTGCTTCCCTTTGACTCTTGCAGTGAGCATGCCCACCAGTGAGACCGAGTCCGTCAACACCGAAAACGTGGCTGGAGGTGACATCGAGGGAGAAAACTGCGGGGCCAGGCTGGCGTGAGTAGGCACGGCGAGCCCAGGGGCTGGGGCTTTTTCCGGAGCACGGGTGGAAAAGCTGCATCTGGAAATCACAATGGGCTGGCTCATCACTGGGAAAGGCAGAGATTAGAGCCGGTGGCAAGAAACAAACCTCAGGTGGGAACCAAGATGGGGAGCAGAGGGCTCTGGGGTGAGGATGGCCCTGGCTGGGGGTGAGTCTTAAAATCACGGCTCGTCTTCAATTCAGCACTTCTTCGGAGGCGCTGACTCTTGGGTTTTGAGCTACTTTTCTTCACATCTGAGAAATATAGAGGGGGTGTGTGTAGGGGGCGGCCCCGAAGTCTGTTTCTTTCACTCCAGTCCCTTTCACCCTTCTTCAAAGAGATGACGAGGTTAGGGTCCTGAGTCCTGCCGGCCACCCCTTCCATTCTGATAAACGTGACGTGGGAGGGAAGCAGACAGGTGAGAAGATGCGCTGGGAGATGACCGGCATGTGGGTCCTTACCTGAAGCTCTGTCATCCTGCCGGTAAGGGAAGCAGAAGTGCAGTGGAGCCTGCTGTTCTGTTGCCTTGGGGCGTCACGACTGTAAACTCACCCTGGCCGCTGGAAGAACTGCAAACAGAGACTCTGAGTCAGACCAGTCCCTGATACAGTGCATTTCTGAATCGCTCCATCTGGGAGGCAGCATCCCCCCTCCCTCCTCGTCTGTGGAATGACGGAGAGCCTGGGCGAGCACAGCCCTTTCACAACGCTGAGCTGTGAAAGAGGCTAAACCAGCAATGCCGGCCTTGAGCCCATGTAGGGGAAGAATGAGGATGAGGCCAGAGCAGCCCTCACAGCCGCTGTCTCCAGGGAGCGTGGGGCTTCAGTATCACTCACTCTGACAGTGGCACCCAGGAGTCTGCACTGCAGATTTCTCAGCATTGTTGGGAAGCAATTCTTGTCAAAATGTTGTTAACATACGATGCTAATTACATTTTTAAGCAGCAGTGCAAACCTCTTCTTTTGGAATCGTACAAAACAAGTACTTGAGTTTCTGGCAGTAGGTCCCAAACAGCAACTCAAGGAAAGGCCCGTAGGAAGGCTTCAAAGTCCGTCAGCTCTAGGCCTTTCTGTCGTCTTGCCACCAAGACGAGGCTTAGAGAGATGATCAAAGGCCCTGCAACTCTGGCTGTTGAGCAGGCCTGAGTCACATACCAGGAGGGACCAGGGAGCTGGCACCAGGAAGTCACCGGACAGTACATTTCAGGAGAGCATGAGGCTCTATTAGGAAGGAAACATGATACTCCCCTGCGGATGGAGGCTGGCAGTCTCCAGTGGATCTGTCGTTTGCTCAGAGCACGTGCTCTGCAGCCTGGAGAGCGCTGCAGAAATGGTCCCTGTTATCCCCATGTTTAGCCACATTCGTACTCTGTGCATACAAAATGCTGAGTCACATGCCAGAATTATAATATGTCCCTAATAAAATGTGGTCTTTCCCCATCTCTTGACCTCCCACCCCGCCCCAGACAATGATGGGCCAAGACTCTGCCAGCATTCCTGGCAGGAGAAGCAGCACGGGAACTGAGACTGAGTGTGATGGTCTGAGGGGACAGTGAGTGACCAGGATCTTTAAAGCTAAGGGTTAAAAGTCTTATGTAATAAGATGAGGTCACGACGAGGACTGCTATGTAGTAAGAAGGCCTGGATGGAGATGGTTCCTGTTGGGGGAAGGGAGGAAAGAACTACAGCATGGTATTTCATGGCAGCAGGGGCAGGCAGGTGGAGGTAATGAAGAGGAAGGAGCCATCACAGTTAGGGAAGAGGATAATGAGGCGGAAGTGAAATCTGAAGCAGGAGCCCAGCTGGAGTGACCTGCAGGTATCATGGAGACCACGAGATACGGAGGTCTGAGGCTCAGCTCTGAACAGGGGTGGCCGCACATGTTTGAGGTTGCCGGGATGAAAACCACCAATGAGGTGATAGGACAGGGTTGTTCAGAGTGAAGTGAAAAACAGAAGACCAAGGGCTGAATCTTGGGAAATGGACACACAGAAAAAGAAGACCAAGCAAGCGAAACAGACAAAGGAACATTAGGAGAATAGGCAGCAGCGCCAGCCTGGAAGTGCGGGGGGAGGAATTTCAGGACAGAGCTGTTGATCTGTGCATTCGTTCCACAGTCTGCCCAGCTGGGTGCCAGGCTAGGTGGTGGTGACACACAACAGGGGAGGAAATTGACGCCATCATACTGGAGCTCACGGTCTAGTGTGGGAGATACGCTGTGCAAATAAATAGGCAACTCTAAATTGGGGTAAGTGTTAAGAAGGAAAAGTAAGTGTAATGTCGGGCTGATAACAAAGGTTTCTGATTTGGACTGGCAGGTTAGGAAAGCCTTCTTTGCAGAATTAAAATTCCAGCTGAGAACAGAAGGATGGACGTGAGTTTTTGAGGGCCTGGCAGACCCTTAACCATTTGGGTCTGCATCAGAAGAGCGTGGGAAGCCGCTGAAGGGCGTTCCGAACAGAGCTGAGCGGGAGGTTGATTTGGTTAGTTCGGAGCTCCTGAAGGATCACTGCGATGTCAGGTAAAGAGCAGGGAGGAATGAGAAGCCGCAAGAGCCTGGCGCAGGCGCGAGGTAGCGTGGCGGCAGCTCGGGCTGCAGAGGGAAAGAGGGGCTGTGCTGTGTGTGTGTTCTGGGGTGCTACCCCCTAAGGGTTGCAGGGCTCTGGTCTTGGGAGTTGGTCTCAGTGAGGGAGAAGGGGTGGAAATGGGCCAGAACAGGGTGCTCACTCAGGCAGTGAGGCCATGGACAGGGAGGAAGATGGGAGCATGTGAAGAGGAGTAGCATGAGTGTGGGAAGTGCTGGCCTTCGTTGTAATAAAAGCTAGGGCAAGCTTCAAGGCAAGGAAGAGGTCACAGAGCAGGAAGAGGCGAAACAGCTGGAGGGGAAGCAGGTGCTTACAGGAGGGCATTGCTTCTGAAGAGGAGAAGGGCGACAGCAAAGACAGTTTGAGGCACCGAACTTGCTCAGGAAAGAGGAGTTTCTGTGCGCCTGGGACTAATTGGAAAATGAAAGAAGAGGAGTCCCAGAGTCTAGTACCCATCAACCTCCAGCTAGCCCTGGGATCTTGGCCAGAGCGCTCTGCTCTGGGCCTCAGCCTCATCCTCTGGGAAAAAGAAGGGTCGGACTGATGTCTCAGCAGAGGCTGGGGCAGGGGGCGGAAACCACCTGCAGCGGTGCAAGATTTCATGTGAAGAAAGCATTCTACACCTGGAGAAATTGCAAACTGTAGGTCCACATGGTATCTAAGGGTCGCTTCCAGCTCTCAAAGCCTACAGTTCTGTAAAGAAGACAGAATCAGAAACAGGCTCTGATGAAGGGGTCAGTGATAGGAGTCACTCCGAATGAGCTCAGCCATCTCATCTCCCAAAGCAAGGGTCAGGGGCCACAGGAACTTGAAGGACAGTACGGAGACTGAAACCAGTGAGTCATCGAGAGGTTGCCCAAAGGTTCCTGGGCAGCACTGATGCCGCGGTGGAGACTGATATCATAAATGTGCAGTCAGCCATATTTTTGGCAGACTCTGCAGCCTGAGAGCACTAAAAAGAGACAGCGGGGTGACCCAGGGTGGGGCTTAGCCATGCAGGCGCAGCAGAAGGCCCAGGCGGTGTGGAGTCTCTGTGGTATTGAGGGCAACGTTGCCATGACTGTAGTCAAGCCTGGTGTTAAGGGGTGTGAGTGATGGGGAGGATCCAGTGAGGACAAAGGTTGGGTCCTCTGAAAGAGCAAGAGGGATCATAGAAAGGGAGGCTCTGGCCAGAGCCATGGAGCATCTGAGCTCAGTACCCAGGAGTGGAAGGAATCCTATGCCGTGGCAAGGGCAGGATGTGACCCTCCCAATAATAAGAGCTGTGCTGGAGAGGAAGTCCCAGAGTTAAGGATGCTGAGTCAGACGCATTGTCAATGTGGATGATGACTGCAGTGCCATCTGACTTACGTTAAAGGCAAATTTGGGACAATTCAGGGAAATACTATTTTACACAGCAGGTAGTAAACATATGGCACTCGTTCCTCTAAGAAGAGGGGAGAGGCTGAAAATATAAATAGCTCTCAAGAAGTTCAAATATTTCTCAGATAATGACAAATGCAAACTGAGTAACTAGGGGAAAAAAAGAGTTTGGGGCTTGTCTCTAATTCTGAACCTGAAAAGCACAAAGGAAAATCATGGTCTCTCCGAAGGTTTCTCTTAGAGTCCTGGGTGGAGAAAGTATCTGGCGTTGCATGAACTTCAGTTCCCACCCACTGGAACTGTTCTGATGGTCTCGTGTTCCTCACCAGCCTTCTCTCCCTCCTCGCTCTTCTTCAAGAATCCGCTCAACCTGAGGTAGGAATGGTGCCTCATTGGAACAACGATGGTGGAGAAAGCCAGGAAGCCTTCTGAGTGCACTGTGCATAGAGAAGCCAGAGCCCCCAGCTGTTCTCAGAGTTCTTTGGAGATTGTGAAGATCAGTAGCAGGGAGGCACTGGCCACAGTGAACCGGCCTAGGATGTGGACCAGCACCATGGCACCAAGGCACCCGGGCTCCTGGCTTGCGTCCTCTCACTGCAGGAGCACCTTTCCAGCCCAGAACCCTGGGCCACCTCCCAGGAGGCAAAGAGGTCCTAGCATTAACTCCAAGGTGTGCAAAGGGAGCAGGAAGAACCAAGGAGTTCAGATGTCACGGAGTTCTCACCTCAGCTCCCCACGGGCATGGAGTTTTCCTCGGTCTCCAGACAAACATCACTGAGCAGTGTCCTCCCCTTCTCCAGGAGAGGAGCCTGCCCAACATGGAACTTAGTCATTCGGCGGTTGCTTGTCAAAAGTGCCAGCCTTTAAAAGGGGATGAGGTTTTGGTCCCCGCGAACCTAAAATTGTGCTCATAATCCCAGAGAATAGCAACAATAGCAACAAAATCAGTCTTTAAGTGTGGTGCCCAGGTTTATCCATCTGGACCTGTCACAAAGCAGACAAGAAAGCTCTGTCCATTTCTTGCTCAGAATGTGCCCGGATGCCACAGAAGGACCTGCAGTCCACGACCATGCTTGAAGCAGGACCTCCTTTTCCAGCACCCCCAGCGCCAGTCCTGCTTCCCAGGGTCATTTCCCTTGGAGACGAACACTCAGGGTTAGGTTTCCCCAGAGAGGAGCTTTTCAGAGCCCACTTGCACTTGTGACCCGCTTGCACTGCAAGAGAATGCCTCATGGCAAAGGGCCGGTGGTCATCATCAAGGGGCACCCCAGGCAGGACTACTGAGGTGTTTCTGAAAGAAAGCCTGGGGCCAGGCTAGGCTTGGAGTCGGAGTGACAAAGCTGAAGGCCGTGGTCACCCACTCACTTGGGCTTATGGGTAACAGCAAGGAGAGACAACCACCCAAAAGCAGCCTGGGGAGACGCTGAAGGTCTGGGGCTCAGCATGGGCCCACTGGAGAAGAGAGCACCTGGGTTCCCCAGCACCCAGTTAGCAGCTGGGAAACATTCATTTGCTGGTTAAACTGTGGCTGTAAATAACAGTGTTGCCCTGGGCTCCTAGTCCCCCTCCCACACACTGTTAACGTGTGATTAAACCCTCCAGCCCTCACAGGCAGTCTGTGGGGGTGGGATGAGGTTATTAGCTAACGGTTCAGAGCAGTAAAGGCACTTGGCTCTGATTCGCAGTGCCCCAGAGATATAATTATCTCATGCACGATGGCTTTGCCACCTGTCACATCTTCTGGCTTAATTTTTTTTAATAAGAAATAACGAGAGGGGCTGGCATGTTCTTGCTCTGTGACACAGCTCGCTGTGTGCCCGGCTGGGACATGGCAGGCCTGCGGCAGTCGCCTCCCAGACTCCCTTCTCACGTTTCTTCCCCATGCCTCTCCTTGTTGCTCCACCACTGTCTCCGTTGCCTTCTTCATCTCTAACTTGCGTTCTGTTCTTCTGCTTCTCCATCTGAACATTGTCACCACCTGCACTATCCCCAGCGTTCACGCCCTTCTAGCACCAAAGCCAAGCTGACAGGTGCCTTCTAATTACCTCAACTGCTTACATTCTCTCACTCTGTTTCTCTCTCTTTGGCTCAGCCTTCTCTTCTCCACACTTCTCTTTCACAGTCTCTCCCGCCTGCCCTTTTCTCCCAGCCTCCTGCCTCCCGTGCACTCTTCCCTACGTGAACTAGGGAGGCTCAGGACTTCCTTGAAGGTTCCGCCTTTCCATGGAACCCCCTCCCTGTTCAATGACCCTTCCAGGCAGCCACCCTCACGCCCACCCTGAGCTTCTGCCCAGAAGTCCCCAGGTCTTCAGGACTGCACGTGACTGTCAGCATCCTGGGTTTCTCCTCTGAATCTGGGGGGCTCCTTAGGCCCCCTCTGTAGCTCTTGGGTGGGGGCTGTTGTGGCCCCTCCATTTCTGGCTGGCTCATTTTGCTGGTCTTCCCTTCATAACCCGACTCTAGCTGGGCTCTGGCAGACAGCTGTGAGGTCTGTGCCGACCTGTTCTTGCCTGTGATTTTTCTGCTATTGGGGTCCTCTTGTCATCAGGAGAGGCCTTTTCTTCCTCTGCAGCTTTTCTCAAGATACAGCTCTTCCTAACCTGACCTCATAGAACTTTCTAGGCAGACCCTGAGGACCTGGTACTCTCCCTCTACAGCAAGGATTGTACTTAGAAGATGCTAGCTGGGCCAGACCTCAGTCTCCACATTCAAATACATAGTGTTCTTTCTCTCCCAAGATGTTCTAATTCACACCATGCCTCCTTCCAGCACCTACACGAAGTTACCTGGGGAATGTCAAATTTCCCTGGGACTGTTGAACATCTTTTACATGCACGTGTGTTTGGTAACATTTCCTTTTTCTCTTTCAGCCACCGGATCTCCAAGTCAAAGTTCAGGTGAGTGAGACGCACACTGCTCTTCCTTCCTTCTACCACCAGCTCTGTCCTCAGCCACCCTGTTGGGTGGCCCAAGGTAATGCCTACGAGTTGTCAGTAGGGTAAGGGGTATTCTTCTTAGGGGGTAACTACTTTCTGTATGGCCATTAAGAAAAAGCTTATGGCTCAGATCAGACAAATAATCCAGTGGTTGACATTTGTTGAATGATCTCGGACCGTCCATCTTTTTGGCAGCAGTGTCCCTAGGAAGTTGTCAGACCAGATGTGTTTTCCTCCCTTCTAAGATGAAGTCCAGTTAAAAGAAACATAAAGTGAACCCTTGTGACTGTCATGACCTGCTTCATGTTTATAGAACATGGTGAGATGTGAACTATGATGATGATGGAAAGCACATAGGATTATGACACCCATCTGTGTCACTGCTCTTGACAACGACAGGACCTACAAAAGGACCCAGGGTCCTCAGCCCCCATCTGCCTCCCAGCCTCACTTCCTGCACTTCTGTGAAAATAACCTTTGTTCCTCCTACAGGGAACTTCTTGCAGTTATCTAAATGTTCCCTGTCCTGGTGCACGTTGAGGGCCTTGCATGGAGCCGTTCCTCCACTTAAATCACCATGCCCCTAGGCCTTCATCTGGAGAACTCAGACTTCTGTTCAGACCCTCAGATGTTACTCCTTCCTCTCCCGTTTCGCTGGGAGTGGAAATACCTTCTGCAAACTCCAGGGAGAGTTACTCAGCTCCCCCTTCCCTGGTGCTTTGCTGATGTCCCTGTCACAGCACTCAGCAGTTCACACTCGGATTACTGGCTCACAGTCCCCTGCCCCCAGAGGCTCTGCCTGCATGCCTCACAGGGGTTACTTTCAGAGCACCGAGCTCAGTGCCTGTCCAGTGGTAAATGTCCGTACATGTGTGTTGAATGAATTAGTGGACAGACGCGTGCAGGGAGAATGTGAATTCACTCCCACAAAGCGTGTATCTACCAAAAATTACTGGTTGTTTTTCATCATTGAGCTGATCTTGATTCCCTAGCCCTACCTACTACAAGGCAGGAGCATAAAGACATTTTCGTCCAGCTGAGTAAACGTAGCCCAGTGCTGTATTTTAAACTGTCCCTTAAGGTAAAGTGATTTGTCTCTCAGATTGCCTCTGTCCCAGCTCCTCTCTTAGATGGAGCTGGACACGTGGGGGAGAGGGACTTTGCAATTCCAGGAAGCAGGGAATGATGAGGGCTGGTCCTACAAGCCACACAAGCCCTCTGGATGCTCATCTCTGCTGCGTGGGGCTAGGCTGGACTGCTGTCTGAACTGGTACCCACTGAGGTCCATCTGGTTAGAGCATCCACTGCTGGAGTCCATGCCCTCTGCTTGCCTCTGGCCTTGAAATCTCCACCTCTGCTCTCTGACCCTTGAGTTCTGTTGGCCCACTGACTTTAGCACCTCTACACCTCAGCTGAGTACACGGACACTTCGAAGTCCCTCACGCTCTCTGAAGGAACTGGGGGAGGCAGCAGCACTACGGCAGGCTCGTTGGCCTACTGGTGTCCCATCACGCCCTCTGTAACAGCCAGGATAAGCTTCAAGCCAAGGGCTGACCTCCCAGGGTCTGCCAAGGCACTCCACCAGCTCCAGTGTCCCTGGGCCTCCCCATGGCCATCTGGGTGTTTCTAAAGCAACCCCCCACCAACCTCTTGAGGTGTGGTGCCCAAGGGCTAAAAATTAAGTGAGGACCCTGGTGTCTGACTTTTGCTCCACTTCTGACACATTCTTTCTCTCCCATTTCACTAGGACTGGAAAATACAGGCTTTTTTCCCAGTTCCTCTTTCTCTCAAACCAAGACCTCGTCTACATAAAAAATTTAGGGTCCACCCCATCAGCTCTGGCTCTTATTACAGAGAAAGAGCTCCAAAAATTAAAAAAAAAAAAAAAAAAAAAAAAAATTCTCTCTCTCAGTAATGCTTGGCTCTTACTGCTTTATCTCCAATATCTGGAGAAGTGGCTGGTACATAACAAGGACCTAATAAATATTTGCTGAGTGAGTGAGTGAATTAATTAATGAAAGATCTTGCCCCAGTAAGACAATAGACTTGACACAGATTCAAACAAAATATCCAATTTGACAGTCAAAGCTGAAAAAGCATGTTGTGCTTTAACAGTTCCAAAGCCCCCACACAATAAGAGTAAAGGGATTAAAAATACACTTGAAAATATTTCCAAAATATCACTCTCACTTCATGCAAGTGGTTAAATCATAAATTAATAAATGAATGAATGAATGAATATGATCCAGAGGATGGAAGGGAAAATTGCATACTTGTGTCTCGAGTTAGAGATTGCCTGGAACACTCCGGCAACATTATATTCATCCAGTGATCTATGGTGCAAGCTGTGCTTTTGAACAAGAGGGAAAGAGCCTTGGTGCCTGTAAACCTCTGGAGTCTCCCTCAGCCCTGAGGCTTTGCTATGTGCTGGCCATTCAGCCCTGATCATCTGCCTCTGGGAAGGCCTTCTCCTTCTTCAGCCACCCCACAATACACCACAGCATTGCAGACAGCAGATTTTGTTCTCCTAAAGGCTTGCAGCTAGTAGGTTGGCACTATCATCGAAACTCATTTCCAGATGAGGATCTTGAGGCTTTGAGAGGCCCAGGTCACAGGGCTCTAGTATGGCTGAGTCAGAACTCATACCCAGGGTCTCTGCTGCCGATCTCTGTGCCATCCTAGTGATGAGGTTCTGCCCAGGAATAGTAAACCCTGTTCCTGTATAGCTAGTGTGTCCACAGAGTGCATAACTCTAGAGGCATGCTATTCAACAGAAATACAATGCAAGCCACATATGTACTTTTAAAAATGTTCTAGTAGGCAGGTTAAAAAATAAAAAGAAACAGGAAATTTCTTTGATTTAAACCAGTGTCTTTAAAACATTACTATTTCAATATGTAATTCATATAAAAAGTATTAATGAGATATTTTGCATTCATGCTTTTGTGCTAAGTCTGAAATTCAGTGTGTTTTGCCGGTACTGCACATCTCAGTCTGGACTGACCACGTCTCCCATGCACAGTAGCTGCATGTTGCTAGCAGCTGCCACACAAGGCCACATGGCCCTGGAGGTTTCACACATGAACAGGTATCACCCAGCAGCTGTCTGATCTGGGTTCAGCAGTTCACTGATGGTGTCTGCTTAGGGAATATCAAAGGCTACAAATAGATTGAAAATGCCACCAACATTTTGAAAGGATTCCTAATCATTTTCTCAAGTTAGGTGAAACAGTTGAACAATTACAAATAATGGAATTTGAGTCTCAAACTGGCCTATTCCATTTGCAAAACAGAATGATCCAAAGTCATGTTTCTTTAAAGGAAGTATAGGAATGGAACCTTTAGGGAAAATTTGGCCAGTTAATGGATTACAGCCATAGTATATTGCAGGCATCGTAGAGTATTCCCTTGGTAATCCAGGTTTTCACTTAGAGGAATTAGTTAAAATAAGAGATCTGTGGCATCTGGAGCTCACTGTTCAGAACAGAATGTAAACAGTTAGGAAACAAATGATGCAGGAAGTCTTTTGCAACCTGAAGGGATTAATTAGACAAGTTGGAGTTTCTGGAGCTCAACTTTACAGAGTTCTGAAGTGAACCTCACGGGGTTCTAAAATTGGGAGGACTGGCTTGCCCAGTCTTCAGTGAAATGTGCTTCCAGTGTTCTCTCCAATTCTGCCATGCCATCAGCAACAAGGCACAAATCCAAATTTGCCCCAATCTCTAATAGTCCTTCATAAAGTTATTTATTTACAAGAGAATTAAACTTAATGATTTTCTGTGCTGTTTGTTGTTGGTTCTGGTAAAAAAAAAAAAAAATTGGAAACTTACTCTAGCCACTTGAAGGAGCCTGCAGGGCCCATCATTTTGATGTTGTCTACGATTCCAGATGCCTGTCTGCCATTGCGTATCAAGCAAACTGTTTTAGGTATGAGCACTGCCCTCTCCTCACCTCCACCCTGAGCCCTGGTTCACAAGAGCTCCGGGAATCTTCAGCCTTGTCTTCCAGAGGGAGGTGGTCCATTTGCGTAGAGTTCATCTCTGCTGCTCAGCCATGCCGTCAGCCAGGGGTTCTTGTGCAGGATGGACTGGGCTGAGTCCCGTGGGTCTGTAAGCAAGTGTAAGACACAGCCCCATTCCTTCGTGGGTCTTGTGAGCTCCGTGGAGAGGCAGGACCATACAAACACAAGGTAACTGACAATACAAGGAAATGGTAAGTCGTTTCCTCTGGGGACCCTTCTTGCCTAAGGTGTCCTTTTGTGCGCTTCCTCGTGGACCCGCCCAGCACTTAGGCCCTGCTGTGACTGCTCACTTAGTGGTCTGTGTCTCCGGGTAGGTTTTACACAGAGGAGGCCTGAGGGCATTGTGCTAGCTGCTGGGTATCTGGTACCCTTCCATGGTCGTGTTTAGTAACTATTTCTTGAATGTGTAACTAAAATGAGTAATGCAGACAGTAAGCACTGGAGAGTGCCCAGGCTGAGAAGACTAGAAGCATGCATCACGGAGAAGCTGGGACTCCGTGTGCCCCACAGGAGGGGCAGGACAGAGAGGATGGAGCAAAGGTGGAGTTTCCGGTAGCTGGGAGGACTTGCCGTGCAGCTGGACAGGCAAGAGGAAGGTCCAGTGTAGGGAGAAGGGCAGGCGGAGCTGGGGCTGCGAGAGCAGAAGTTTCCCCTGGGAATGCAGTGATCTCAAAGTTTAGAGACATGGATGACACCCATTCGTAACCATCCCTCTCTCCTGTGTCTACATATGGAAGGTTCTATTTTTAGAGAAAATGACTTCCAGTTAGTGTGAAGGGAACATGAATAGCAGGCAAATTTCTCCTCCCTATTTTATCATTTAATTTCTGTATCCTCCATGCATCTGTAAACACAAATAAATTTACACATTCTAATAAACCATTACATTTATTATACAGTAGGAAGTGTTGCCAGGAAACCAGTTGTCAAGCAAAGCTATATTTTGAAGAGTGGGAGGTGTATAATTATCTTTAAATACTTTCTCTGGATAGTAATTACCCCACCCCCACCCCAGCCCAAATCCATGTGACTCTCCCAAATGGGTCTGCTCAGGAGCACCCCAGTTTAAAGGGACACCGTCCTGTCCGCTCCAGCCACTCCTCAGAGGTCTGTAGAGCAGCTCCAGACCCAGACCCATGGGACAGGCCTGACCACCCAGCACCCATACCCACCCCCAAGCATGAGGAGAGAGGGGCATAATCAAGTTCTCTTATGAAACCCACTCTAAGACAGCTCTACGTACCGTAAAGAAAGCAACCCTGATTGCCTTGGACTCCGAATAACAATTATCAGTGATTTCTGGAACTTGAGATTGTATCTATTTAAAACATGTTCTTTGCAAACTTCACTGTCAGCTGTTTAAGATCAGATATGAGTTTGTCCTGAAAATTCATTTTTTAGGGGAAAAAACTACTTGCCAAATTTCTGTACAATGTTAATAATCACAATCACAGGAAAGAAGCGGTGGCATGCCCTGCAAGATAAGACTGTTTAGTATCAAGATCTGGCAAACTTCAGAGGTCTCCTCTCAAGAGGGCCATCTGGTACTCATTGTCTCATTCCTTTGTCCCTCTGTCCACCCTCCACCATCCTCCCTCGGATCCAGGGCAGTATGTCTGGGGGTGCAAGAATCCCAAAGTGCATTTAGAAATCATAACTTTTTAAATTGTTAATGACTATGGGCACTAATAGGTGTATATATTTATGGGGTGCATGTGACGTTTTGATCCAGGTGTAAAATGTGTAAAAATCAAACCGGGGTTATTGGGGTATTCCTCACGTCAAGCACTTATCATTTCTTTGCATTAGGAACATTCCAATTCCACTCTTTTAGCTATTTTAAAAATACAATAAATTATGACTGTAGTCACCATCCTTCTCTCCTATGTTGTATGATCAAATATTACATCGTATTTATTCTATTTAACTACATTTTTTCACCTATTTACCGTCTCCACTACCCTTTCCAGCTTCTGGTAACCATCATTCTACTCTCCGTATCCATGAGTTCAATTGCTTTAATTTTTAGCTCCCACATGTGAGTGAGAATATCACAATTTGTCTTTCTGTGTCTGGCTTATTTCACTTAATATAATGGCCTCCAGTTCCATCCATGTTGTTGCAAATGACAGAATTTCATTCTTTTTTATAGCTGAACAATATTCCAGTGTGTGCACGTACCGCATTTTCTCCATTCATCTGCTGGTGGACGCTTTGGTTGATTCTGTATCGTGGCTATTGTAAATAGTGCTGCAGTGAACATAGGAGTGCAGACATCTCTTCAGTATACAGACTGGAAACCATATTTTACACTGGGTGGCCTGCTTCCCTGTGTAGTGGATTTTCCCCTGAGTGGTAGGCAAGTGTCCCATGTAAGGTGTGGCCCTCACTGGAGACGGCCTTCGAGCCAGAGCAGAACACTGCCCGGATTAATCCTTTCTCCCCTCCCTGCTCCTCAGGCCAAAAACTAAGTTCTCCCTGCAGTCCTGAGGAAAGAGTACCCTTCTTAGATTACTCTTCGTTCTCCTAACCTCATCCTAGATTTAGCAAAGGCTTGGTAACAGGATTTTCTGCAGACCATCGATAGAAAAAGGACAGAATAGAAAGGTGGATGAAGTCAGGCTACTCCAAGAGGCAATTTTGCGGCGGGGGGTGGGTGCAGGGATCCGTAACAACTGAGGTCCACATCCTGGAACCTTGGAACACTAGTTGTCGCTAGCATCTTGGAGTTTGCTGATGTTTGGAGGGCCTTCTGCTCTGGAAGTAGAGGACCAAGGCTGAGGGCTGTGCACACAGCACAGAGCTGTCCCTGCCCCCGGGGCACACCCACGTATGGTGCTGCTACGTGCCCAGGGGCTGGAAAGGAATAGGCCATTCACAGACCAGCAGGTTCACACAGATGGGACTTGCTGTTCTACCACCAGCATAACCTGACCCAGGAGGTGACACTGAGGCTTGATGGTCATCTCTGGCAGGAAGGCTGGAGAAACAGACTCATGCCACGGACTCTGATTTAGAATAGAGGACCTCAGTTCAGCTTCCTCGTGCTGAGGTGGAGGGCCAGTTTTCACATCCAGACTTAGTATGCCACACACACACACCCGCCCCCAGAAACAAAGTTTTATGTAAAAAATATTTTCCTTACTGCTTACCTTAAAAAGCAGTTTCCTTATGATATGACAGGCACTGTGATATTTTCCACTCTATTCCTTTATTCAGTGCCAGGCATGACCTACTCAATAGATTTCATGACCCACTAATGGGCTGCAGTGTGAGGTTTGAAATCTCTGCCCTGAGGCAGATTCTGCATGCTTATTTAGAGGAATGTCTGTCTAGACTAGAAAGATTCATAGAAAGGAGATCATTTTATGGAAAAATACAGATATTCATGGACTTTATCACCAGGATTCTACTTTATTTCTCCTCCTGCCTTCATTACCCAAGCAGGAGCTGCATCTTCTATGCCTGGTGGGTCTGCGTACAAGCCGTACAGGTGCCCCAAAGCCATGTGCAGAGCTAAGCACCCCACGCTTCTCATAGCTGACCCCTCTGCCTGGAGCTCTACTCCCCCTCCTCTGGCCCTCCGTGCCGCTCTCCCAAATCGCCCCAGCTAAAAATGTGGGCCTCCCTTCCATACTTGTTTCTCTTATTCTGCACATCCTCTCATCTCAAGGGCCTGTTGATTCTGCCTCCAAAATTGCTGCCAGCTCCGTGTCGTCTTTGCCATTAATAAATCTATTGCCTTCATCATCTCTAACCTGGAGAACAGGAAGAGAATTCCTCATACTCTCCCTGGTCTGGAAGGTGACAGAGGGGCTGTTTTTGTGGCGTGTTCCAATCCAACCTGATCATGTCTTTTCCCCCTCCCCAAGCCCTCAGCATAGCCCCTGCAGTCTCCTCCTCAGCTATGGTTCCTCTCTCCTTGCACATTGCAGCCATTTATTAACCGTGTCGTCTACTGAATTCAACCAAATAGAGCTGTATATGTTCTCTGTATCAGGAAAACGAAAACGCCTCCACCATAAAGTCTTAAAATGTGTTTCTTCAGGATCATCTTAGCCAGTGGTTCTCAACCATCATTACACATTAGAACCACCTGGGGAACCTTAAAAATACCCAACCCCCTAGAGAATCAGACTTAATTGGTTTGGTGTTGGGGCTTGCGGACCAGTGGGGTTCTGGGGAGGGTTCCCTAGGTAATTCTGTGTGTAGCCAGGTTTGAGAATCACTGACAAAGGCCCCTGAACCAGGACACTGGGAACAGTCCACGGAGCATGAATGAGCTTTAAGGGCTCTGTGTGCTGCATGGGCTCACATGGAAGGGTGTGGGTGTGGGTGTGTGCCCATGTTTCTGAAAGGCAGATCTAAACGCTGATCAGATTCTGGAAAGATTCTATAACCCAGAAGAACAAAGAGCCTGTGCTCCAGATGAACCCCTTCTACCATAAGGATGCAGCACGCAGAGTCAGGGCCAGGAGGCTGGGCAGAAACCCACGCCTGGCTCTGCCCGCTGTGATGTTGGTCGAGGTACACAGCCTCCCCGGGCCTTAGTTTTCTCCTCCACAACAATCAGCATGATGCATGTTTTGCAGAGTTACTGAAAGAATTGGAGAGAAGGCATGAGAAGTGCCCGACGTGGTACTGGGCCCCTCCACAACTGTTACTAAGAACGCTCTTATTAGCCGGGCGCGGTGGCTCAAGCCTGTAATCCCAGCACTTTGGGAGGCCAAGGCGGGCGGATCACAAGGTCAGGAGATCGAGACCATCCTGGCTAACATGGTGAAACCCCGTCTCTACTAAAAAATACAAAAAATTAGCCGGGCGAGGTGGCGGCGCCTGTAGTCCCAGCTACTCGGGAGGCTGAGGCAGGAGAATGGCGGGAACCCGGGAGGCGGAGCTTGCAGTGAGCTGAGATCCAGCCACTACACTGCAGCCTGGGCAACAGAGCGAGACTCCGTCTCAAAAAAAAAAAAAAAAAGAACGCTGTTATTGCTTGCAACACTATTTCTAAGAATGCCGTTTTACAAAAATTTTTTTTTAAAACTTCCATTTATTGAGCACCTTCAACTTCAAAACAGCCAGATGCATTAAAAGGTATTTGATCCATCCCCACAATAACCCCATGAGGTTGGCCCTCTTCCCGTTTCACAGATGGGAGAACTAAAGCTTGGAGGAGTTCAGGGGCATCCCCAAGGCGGCAGGGCCTGGTTAGCTGGGTGAGAAGCTGGGCTCCTTGCCACCAGGTTGGGCTGTTCTGGCAAGGCCAGGTCAGTGAGGGGTGAGAAGAGCCACGGGGCTGCATCTTGGGTTGGAGGAAACCTGAATTCACAGCCATCCCCACCCTTCTCTCCTTGTCCCCTTTCCAGCCGCTACTGGCGCCGGTGGAATCGGTTCTGCAGAAGAAAGTGCCGTGCCGCGGTCAAGTCTAATGTCTTCTACTGGCTGGTGATTTTCCTGGTGTTCCTCAACACGCTCACCATTGCCTCTGAGCACTACAACCAGCCCCACTGGCTCACAGAAGTCCAAGGTGAGTGGCGGCCCCAGCTCTGCCCTGATTTCCTCCTGGTAACTCAGCCCCTAGGCCCAGGGGAGGGCATAACCACAGGCAGAAGGTGGATGGGAAAGCAGACAGTGGTCAGGGCTCTTGGCAGGTGCTGTGCTGGAGATAACAAGGGCCTAGCAGTTCCAAAACCCCACAATAAAATGCACTACCTTGTTAAAAACAGATACGGCTTCCCTGACTGGGCCCACACCATCAGCCTGCCCCAAAGTCACTGGTGGGCCCGGGTGATGAGGAAAGGGGCTACAGCTTGTTTGCCTATCTCAGACCCCTGGCTGCCAACTTCCCAGCGTGGATTTTAAATACCTGGGGGCCTTCCTGCAGCCCCGAGGTGGCCTTAACCAGAACACGTGAGGATGGAATGAGCAAAAACGCAGAGAAGAGAATAGGGCCTGAGCACAAGGAACTGTCTTCAATGGGTCGTTCGTTCTCATTATCCTTCCTTGGGCCCCTGGACGAGGGTCCTGCTAGCCAGGCCTCATCATCATTGCTGGGCAGTCAAGAAGACCTGGCCCCATCCTCCACAGCTGCATTCCAGAGTCCTGGGAGGCAGGGGGTCTGGTGGTGGAGAAGTCGGACTCAGACAGTGCAGCTGTTGGCCTGCAGATTACTCACCTCTTTGAACCTCCTTTCTCATCTCTGAAAATGGGCATGACGATGGTGGTGCCATCTCCACAGGCCTGCTATGAGGAGTAGAGCTTGTGTGTGCTGAGCCTATGGTGCATGAGAGATGCTCAGTAAATGTCTGTTATGATTATGACGAGAGAGCCCTTTCCCACTGGCTTGGCCCTAACTGTTCTGTTTTGGCCAAGGTGGATGGGAGCGGTGTCATGGGGGATCTTTTTTCCAGTGGAGATAATTACTATATTTCCTTTCCCTGCCTCCCTCTCTGCCCTCCTCTGGCCCTGCTCGGATCTCATCCCTCTCCTGGGCCTGCCAGACACGGCGAACAAGGCCCTGCTGGCCCTGTTCACGGCAGAGATGCTCCTGAAGATGTACAGCCTGGGCCTGCAGGCCTACTTCGTGTCCCTCTTCAACCGCTTTGACTGCTTCGTCGTGTGTGGCGGCATCCTGGAGACCATCCTGGTAGAGACCAAGATCATGTCCCCACTGGGCATCTCCGTGCTCCGATGCGTCCGGTTGCTGAGGATATTCAAGATCACGAGGTACGGGGCATCTCCTCTCACTTTGGAGAGAGGACTCAGGGAGAAGTTCTTCCAGAGGGCAAGGGAGGTGGCAAGGCCTGAGTGGGAGCAGGGCTGTTCTTCCTCAAAGGGTGTCTCTGAAGTTCACATGCAATGGGGGGAGTTTGTGCTCATTTAGATGGCACATCATTTGGAAATTCCTCTGGCTGCTAATACCAGAGACTCAACTCAGTAGTGTAAGCAAGCTAGGGACTTACTCAGCCACGGAAAGAAAGTCCAGAGGCAGCTAGCTGAGGTGGCTTCCGGAAAAGGGTCAGGGACTCAGTCGCTTCTCCTGTGCTTCACCAGCCTTGGTGCTGATTCCTCTCCAGGGTCGTAAGTTGGCTTCTGGAGACTGAGCCATCACATTCAAATTGGAGGTGGGAAGAGTAGAAAGGAGCAGAAGGGCTGACCACCCTGGCCAAGTCAGCCTCTCCACTCCCAGAAGTCACTCCCAGACACACCCATTAGGACTGCTGCTGTCGAAAACCCTGAAAATCCTGAGGGTTGGCAATGACATGGAGAAACTGGAGCCCTTGTGCACTGTGGGTGGGAGTGTAAAATGCAGCCACTGTGGGGAATGGTATGATAGTTCCTAGAAACATTAACGATAGAATTACCCTCTTATCCATCAATTCCATTTCTGGGTATATGCCCAAAATAATTGAAATAGGATCTCAAAGAGATATTTGCACACCCAACTGCCTTAGACAGATGAACGTATTTTTAAAATGTGGTCTGTACATACAGTGCAATATTATTCAGTCTTAAAAAGGAAGGAAATCCTGACACATGCTACAAAGTAGATGAAACTTAAGGACATTATGCTAAGTGAAATAAGCCAGTCACAGAAAGATAAATACTGTATGATTCCATTTATACGCAGCTCTTAGAGTAGTCAGATTCACAGAGACAGAAAGCAGAGTGGTGGGCGCCCAGGGCTGCCGGGAGGGAGCAGTGGGGAGTCAGTGTTTAATGGGTGCAGAGCTTCGGTTCTGCAAGGTGAGAAGGGTTCTGGAGGTAGAGGGTGGTGGTTTCACAAGCGTGTGAATGTATTTAGCACTACTGAATTCTACAGTAAAAAAAAAAAAAAAAAAAAAAAGGTTAAGATGGTAAATTTTATGTTGTGTCTATTTTAACACAATGAAACAAATGGGAAGAAATCTTCCAGAAATTTCAGCAAGGGCTTCTGTTCTTGGGCACCTGAGCTATTAGGGAGGCTGAGAAATGTAGTCTTCTAGCAGGACAAGTTCAGCTGAAAACGTGATCAAGATCCAGCCACTGTAAAGGGCTGTGGACACTGCACTGCAGATGGCGTTCACCCTCTGTCCACATGGCCACCCCTCCATATATCAGTCCAGCACCTACCCACAGCGGGCCATCTCCCTCACTGTCTAGGCCAGGCAGTGACTCTCGTGATGAGGACAGGGCCGAGGGGCACCATTCTCTAGGACAATGGTTTTCACCTGACTTGTGACCACTGGGAGTGGTGGAATCAATTTATTGGATCACAACCATCATTTTAAAACAGCTCTACTGAAATATAATTCATACCCCATATATTTACCCCTTAAATGTGTAATTTAATTGTTTTTTATATTAGCAGTTATGCAACCATCACCAGGTTCTAGTTGTAGAATATTTTCATCACCCCAGAAAGAAACTCCATACCCACTCCACATTCCCCCCATCTTCCCTCCCAGAACCAAATTCACTTTATGTCCCTATAGAGTTGCCTATTTTGGACCATTCATATGAGTGAAATCTTATAATATGTGTTTTTGTGATGGCCTCTTTGACTTAGCATAACGTTTTCAAGGGCCATACATGTTGTAGCATAGATCAGTACTTTGTTTCCTTTTATGGTGAATAATACTCCATTGATGGATATACTACATTTCGGTTATTCATTTGTCAGTGATGGACATTTGGTTGTTACTATGTTTTGGCTCCTATGAATCATGCTGCTATGAACATTCATGTTCAAGTCTTTCTATAGATGTACGCTTTTGTTTTTCTTGGATACATACTTCGGAGTGGAATTTCTAGATTATTTGGTAACAATATGTTTAAGATTTTGAGGAACTGTCAAACTGTTTTCCAAAGACACTGAAGCATCTTACATTTCCATCAGCAATGTATAAGGGTTCCAATTTCTTCACATTCTCTCAAGCATCATTTTTAAAGAAAGAATGAAATAGAATAGAAAAACATCAGAGGGTCGGCCGGGCACGGTGGCTCACGCCTGTAATCCCACCACTTTGGGAGGCCAAGGCGGGTGGATCACGAGGTCAGGAGATCGAGACCATACTGGCCAACACCATGAAACCCCGTCTCTACTAAAAAGAAAATACAAAAAAAACTAGCCGGGTGTGGTGGCAGGTGCCTGTAGTCCCAGCTACTTGGGAGGCTGAGGCAGGAGAATGGCTTGAACCTGGGAGGCGGAGCTTGCAGTGAGCCAAGATCGTGCCACTGCACTCCAGCCTGGGCAACAGAGCGAGACTCTGTCTCAAAAAAAAAAAAAAAAAAAAGTTGAAATACAGACTTGACTTGCAGTATAACATACATTTCTTAATGTGCATTATGGTCAACCTTAGAAGACAGACAGGAAACAGTTGGAAGGAATTTTCAGCCTGTGCCCCTCAAAGGTACAAATCCCTTGTCCTTAAAATTCTGCTTTGGGAGCTCCCAAAATCTCTGCTTTGGGGAAGCTTTGATAACAGGAGCTCTAAAACCATCAGCTGGATTGTGATGGGTGAAAAGGGATGGAGGTTGATGTCTTCTGCTCAGGATCTGGAGCTGATCGCTCAGACCATGTTTCTGAACTTGGCTAAGTGAGGCTGGAAAGTGTCCCTCGGTATTACTCTTCTCATCACAATTCTCTTGGCAGACACCCAGAGCATGGTCACATGGTGTTGTAGACGGTCCAGGGAGGTCGGCATTTAAAGTGTTTCATTTAGTGCACAGAAAGGACTCAATATGCAGAAGCTTTTATTATTAATCTAATATTATGACTGCTATTATTAGGAGGAAGGAGAAGAGAGCTAATAGTGACCTACATATTCACATACTCTTATTCTTACTTATTTACCCACCATGTATATACTGTGTATTGAGCTCAGAGAGATGGAAAAAATCAAAAAATAAGGTGTATGGCATGAACTAAACCTATAGTCTGGTTTGGGAGATGGAGTTTGTGCACATGAAGAGATTAAAGGAAAATCTAAGACAGAATATAATGAGCTGGCAAAGTGTGGTGGGTGCCGGAATTACCTGCTGTGAGAAATTGGGAGCAGGAGATAGCTCCTGGAGAAGGTTGAATCTCAGATGAGGGACTTAACGGATACGCACGATTAAAATCCAGAAGTTTAATGCTCCTAAGCAACAGCCTTCTTTCCCTGTCTGACCCCATTGAAAGAGAGTTCTTCCTAAGTGTCCTGAATATGTTGGCATTACAGAAAGTCCTTGGTTTACAGTAAAAGTGATAGAAATCCTTATAACAGCAGTGATTACCATGCACCAGTGCTCACTCTGTGCCAGACAGGGTGAGCCAGAGGCCTGCGAATGTTAGCTTGAGTCATCCTCCCAACTACCTACTTGAGGATGAGGGCAGGCTGCTACTATTCTTATTCCCATTTTGCAGATGAGAAAACTGAGGCTTAGAGAGTTGTCAGTTGCCCAAGGTCACAAAACCGCTCAGAGGTAACACTGGGATTAAAAGGCAAGGCAGGTCTGTGGGTCTGACTTGAGGTGCTGTGCTCCTAACCACTGCTGTGCACCGCAGAGCTGAGAGCTGACCTGTCTTATCTAGATCCCTGAGACAGGACTTAAAGGATCTTTATGCCCTGGTTCTTGTTAGATAATTGCCGATTCTACTTGCTCCTCCTGGGGTCTGGTAAAAGCTATTTTTAACTTGGAGTTTTCAATGCCTCTTAAATAATTCTCAAAAGTCCCTGTTTTGGGTTTTATATATATATTTCTATAGAAAAGAAATCTTGCTGCTATATATTGTTATGACATCTTGAAAAGATTTAACATTTATTCTATTTTTAATCACCAATTTATTTCTAATCTGAAGATATTGCCAAGAAACCATTTTTCAAAATCTATCTTAATCAGAGAGCTTCCTGTAGTCCCTCCACAAGAAAGAGTAGTAGTATTATCAGATCTCTATGAAGTCTATAAACAGAAAAAAAAATCCTTGTCTAATTGAAAGTGACTTTGGCAAAGGCCGTCATCTTCCTATTTTCAAGTCTCTAAAGCCTCTGGGGGTTTTCGGAAAGCAGCAAAGAGACTAATGAGGTTGGGAAATCCCATAAGCCTGTCTCCAGCCCCAGCCTTGGGACTGGGTGACAGTGACCAAGAAAAATGCCTAAAATATGGGCTGGGAGTAGACATTGTGGTCCCTTCAGCTGAACCTTGAAATGAGTCATCTGTGCATGGTCCTGCCATCAGACAAGTGCATGCGTTCTTCTTCTTTTAAAATATCTTGGAAAATACTTTGCAACGTCTGGCTGCTACTCATATGTAGAAGAAATGTCTTCTTTTTTTTTTTTTATTTTTACAATGTAGTCTGAACCAGTGATTGCAATTCTTAAACCTAGCTGAACCCATGAAGGAGCTCATTAAGGAGCTCATCTCTAGCGATTTCGGCCAGCAACTCCCAGAGAGTTCCATGCTGGTGGTCCAATGACCGACCTCACTTGAAGAACCACTGGCCTAATTTCCTACTGCTGCTCTTGGTCTGCTTTCTTCTCCTAAAATACTGCCCTTCATGTGCATTTGGAAAACTTTATTCCTCCTCCTCCTCTTCCTCCTTCTCCTCCTCTTCCTTGTCCTCCTGCTCCTCCTCCTCCTCCTCTTCCTCCTTTCCTCCTCCTCCTCTGCTTCCTCTTCTTCCTCCTCCTCCTCCTCTTCCTCCTCCTCTTCCTCCTCCTCTCCTCCTCCTACTCCTCCTTATCCTCCTCCTCCTTCTCCTCTTC